AGCAGATGTGACAGGGACCAGTAATGTCAGAGCATTCTGAGCCCATAAAGATGTCAGATAATAAAAAAATAAATAAGCGAATGTCTTACTCTGCAAAATTCAAACTAAATGTAATCAGTTATGCAAAAGAGCATGGAAATAGAGCTGCAGAGAGACAGTTTGGACCTCCTCCCACTGAGTGTATCATGTAAATGTTACCTAATTGTGTATCATGTAAATGTTACCTAATTGTGTATCATGTAAATGTTACCTAATTACTAAATAAAAATGTGTTCTGCTTCATCTTTAAAATATTGATTTCTTAATTTTGGGGTGGAAAGGTGGGGGTTGTCTTATACATGGGGGCATCTTATTAACAGAAAAATACGGTATATGTGAAATGCACTGAATATCAGCAAGTCCATCTGACTACATCATGCTTCTCCACGCCTCACTGCAGGACATCAGCAAACTACTTTGATCAAACCCCTATGTATTTATCTTCTGCTGTGCATAGCTGTGCATTAGATTCATTACATTAAGATGAGCTTTGGAGGGAGTGACAGATGTATCTGGTTTGGTTTTGCTTGACCATGATACACTAAGTGCTCTGGTAGAGGAGGAATGGCTAAACTTAATTTGAATGAGACCACTTTGTCTATCTCTACTGATGTTATGTTCCTGAGAATTAGTAATCAGCCAATTTTATTTTCGATAATTTGATGTGTTTGATGGTAAGCAAACTCTATTCTCTTAAATGGAGATTAAGTAGATTCACTTAAAGCAAAGTGTTAGTTATCAGAGAGAGGAAAAACTGATTAGGGTGTATTGTCAATATTGTTATGCAAAAAAGTTCCCACTGAACTTGTACTACTTGCTTGTTGGTGGACATATAGCTTGTATTTGAATGTGATTCTACTAATTCCAACTTCCTGATTTGGTGTGTGAATGAAAATATTGAAATTTAGTTCTCTAGATTTTCCAGTTCTACAATCAAAATGTGATGCAAGAGTATGTTTATTAGATGAAATTGAATACAAGAATAAACATTCATAAGGAATTAGAAATAAGTTGTAAGCTGATACAGACATAATAAAACAAATTTAATATTGGAGAATTGAGAAATTAAGAGAAATCAAAATTGACTAATTTATTCATCCTTTTTCTTTGTCTCTCTCTCTCTCTCTCTCTTTCTATATAATGAAGCAGTTAAGATTTCTAATTTTATTGTACTGAAGTGTGTTCTCATTTCAGTAAAAGAAATCCCTCTTTTTGATACCTGAATTTAAGTTACATGTTTGGGGCTTTTTACAATTTCAAAACATATCTCCTCTTCAGTTTTCCTTAAATCTTTTTGTATTGTTTGATTCATTTTTTATTCATTCCCTCCTACCATCCCCATTTCAGTGGGCATCAAGATCAAGGAATAAAAAGATTCAGTCAAACTGGAAGAAGAAAAGCTATTGCAATGGTGATGAAGGATCAGTATTGGGGTAAGCAGATGTTTCATAAATCCATGCCGTAATGTATTACTGCGTATACTTGCAGATAAGCCCATCGGCGGATAAGCCAACCCTCAAATTTTTAACCAAAATACCATGAAAAATCTGCCATCCGCTAATAAGCCAAGCCAGCCCTCAAAATTTTTGTATGCTTTAATTTTCACAACTGGCTTATCTGTGAGTGGCACACTTTTCATATATTTTCATTAAAAATTTTAGCCCCAGCCTATCCATGGTTGAGCTTATCTGCAAATATATACAGGTACATTAAACAAGTATTACTGTATATCAGATAAGCCTTTCTGTGGATAAAATGGTTCAGGTTACACACCCTTACATTAAACCACAGTTTAGCTTTGCACAGAGACACTAAAGATATCTATTTTATCCTTTCAATTACTTTTGAAAATAATAAGACTAGTATTAGTATTTCATTCTTGTTTGGATGATATTTCTGTACTGACAGAGAAAAAATTATACCTGGCTTGTGAAATTGAGTCTTTAGGGGTCATGAAGGGATGGCCTGTGTTTAATAGGGGTATACAAAGCAGTCAAAAAAAGTAACTCAGTGTGCAGAATCATGTATAAAGTACTTCCTCAAATTCTTAAAGCAGAAACTTTGTTTGCAAGGTTCGCACAACTGCTTTGGAAGCTACACCCATCTGTACCCATATTTGAGTGCATTCAGAGCCACTTTGTGAATTTTTATACAGGCCTAATAGTTAACAAGGCCCTTGAAAACATGCTTCCTCCATTTTTTTCCATAGTGCAATTCTTCAATTCAGCATGCTGGCACCATGGACTTCACAGAGCGTGCTAGACTAGAAAATACTTTTGACTAGCAGTGCTTTATTATAGATAAAGCAAATAATTGTATGTGCTAGTACAGTGTTAATCCTTTGAAAAAGATCCACAATGCACAAAGCATTTCTCTGAATTATTAATATAGATGAATCTTTTTCTAGGCTTACACATCCATTTCAAAAACTACTCTTGAGAGTCTTTATGCACAGCTGCTTTGCTTTGCTTTTGCCTAAATTTGTAGAATATCTAAACAGAAATTTGATTTTATCACATGGAACTGAAGTGTTTTCTATTTGCTGATTTGATTTTGGTGGAACCATCTCCTATACCTAAAATCTCTAGGACTTGTTAATACACTGCCATCATGATAGGCATGGTTATGTGTAGTTATGACTTGTGTTTCTGTGTAAAATTCATAACTTCTAGGGTTTGAAAGCTTATCTCTGGATTACAGTTCTCAGTTGCTCAAGGGATGTTAGTTCAATACTACTAAACTGTCAGCCTTACCAGGTAGACTAGACAGGAAACATGAACAATTAAGCCAATTCAACTTTACCGTAAAGTCCATTAACAGAATCTTGCAAGTCTGAAAGTACTTCTCCCGCTGTCTCCTTTACAGCCCAAGAAACTAGAGAGGATCCCTTCTGAGCCTCTTGCCTCGCCCACTATCCAGCTGGAAGCTATGCTGTCTCTTATCTGACCATTTCCTAGGCAACATCTCTTTGCCCTGTCTCCCAAGGTCTTTCCCACATACCATTACATAAACCAGCCCTAATTCACCAGCTGAATTTCTGAATTTGATTGAAAAAGGCCAACAGTGAAGACTAAGCCAATGTCAGAATGGGCTGACCTGTGCCAAGAAGATACATCTGTAATTATAGTGAAAATTCTGATTAGGATTTTGGATTAATTCCTTCTCTTTCTAGTTCAAGTCTCAAGTAACTGGATTCTCATTGTTATTCTGTGACCATTTCTGAATTGACAACTTGCAGAATTAGGTCATGGATATCCTTGCAGTAATATTCATAAACTTTCAATCAAGACATCCAATTTTGTCATTTAGACACAATCACAATGATTGCATACTATTAGAAAATATGTTTCTAATGCAAACCTTGGCAGATATTTCAGTCATTACTGGTCCCAGGACAAAGAAGACTACAATGGCCAAGCACTTCATAGCAAATAAAGCTGTGTCAAGGAGGAATATGTAGAAACAATTTTCCTCTGTAGAGTAGAATATAATACATATTCCTAGCTGAAGCCATTTGGATTATTATAGGACACTTGGTTGAATTCATGTATCTTAATTAGTCTTCCTTATTTGTTATCATTATTATTATATGTATGGCAGGCAACCCAAAGTTATCTTGACGAATATCCTGGAGACGGAATTAGGAAGAAAATACATAAAGACACAGTTTGTAACTGATCCTAATTTATCTCATGCTATCAAGTTGCAGTCAGATCAACAAACCTCATCATCTGTTGACTCTCTAAAGATATGGCACATAATAAGTCCTCTTCACCAACCCACTTTTTTATCAGAAAGGTATGTCTTGTTGAGTCTGCCTTAGACATAATATAACATGTTATTAAAAATAAGTGTATGCAATTGTGTTTCATGGATAAGCATTCCATAGTACATTGTTATTCAGTTTTAATGCCTTTACTACAACCTTCTGAGGCATCCATGTAATTTCCATTTAGAATTGTTTCATTTGAGAGGGAATCTATACAGTTACATCTCTTTGAGAGTTCACATCACTTTTTTTGTAATAGTGGAATTGGTTTAAGCTTAACATCTGGAAGAGAAGTCAGTTTCTTTTCCTTATTCTCCCCACCACCACCCCACCCCAAGCTGTAGTTTTTCCTTTAACCATTTTCTTGAGTCCTCTTTAAATTTGTTCTTCAGTTCTGTTTCCAAAGAAGACATTATTAAGAATAGCAGCATGCTTGTTCCTTTGTGGATCCCTTGACTTTGCATAGAACTTTTAGTAACATCCCAGCAGAACATTCTTTTTTTTACATTGAAAATAGAGTTTGTCTGCAAATACCCTTTTGGGGAGCAACAGATGTCTTAGTGCTCATAGGCATTGTGCAACTGATCCCTTTATTATGCCAAGCCTTCCTTTCCACTTTCTCCTTTCCATGGTAGCTTCACCATAATATATGATCCTAAAATAAACAGTCAAATTGGAAACATGATCTTAATTGGGAATAGTCTCTATAACGTAGTTTTATGCACAGAGTTCAGTGAGAAATGAGTACGTACATACATTTTTGCTGCAAATATTTCTTGCAACCCAAAATATCAATCAATAACTTACTAAATTTATGGCAATTTAGTTAGTATTTTTGTACGAATCTTTTACATGGTGTGCCAGCTGATCACTCCTTTAATAGTAAGATTTAGTTTTGCTAAATATTTTCTTCTGTTCAAAGTGGATTTGCTCATTTTATTTACCACATTTTAATGCATGCTAAAAAAAATTTATGACATAAAGGCAACATCTGATTCCAAAGCCAACAGCTAAGGTACCAGAGTCAACAAAATCATCAATAACATTTTTAACTGATCATATCTGAATCTTTATTTTGGAATACTTCACTTAATCGCTGTTATCTCTTTTCATTCATTTTGTACTTTTTGGGGGGGAGTTATGGTGAATGAAGTTTGAGATTATTTAGACAGTTACAATATAATTCAACATTTTGATGCATTGAAGATTATTAATTATATGTGTGGCAGGCAACCTAAAGTTATCTTGACGAATATCCTGAGGACAAAAACAGGAAGAAAATATATGCAAAGGCACCTTTTAACTAATCCTAAATTATCTGATGCTAACAAGCTGCAATCAGATGAACAACCCTCCTCATCTATTACCAGCCTAAAATCTTGTCAGACAATAAGTTCTCAACAAAGCTGTATTTTACCTAAAAGGTATGTCATTCCAAACAGTGTTTTAATGATTTTGTTCCTGTTTATCATTAAAAGTACAGTCAGTTTCAGACTAATGCATGTAGGAATATGCATTTGAAGCTACAGTTTTACAAAACAACAAAACACAAATTATGCCTAAGTGAGTTCAGCTGGAAAGAGATTCATGCATACCTGCTTTAGTTATTAATTTATATTAATAGAGAGTAACTTTTACATCCTTTCTTTATATGTGCTTTTGAGGAAAATCTGTGCTCATTAAGCTCTTTTTCAGTTTATTGCTTTGATTCAAAGGCGTGCATTGGACCATTTGCTCAGTGAAGGAGTACTCATAGGAAATGGTTGGAGAAGATTATGAATTTATATAGACTGAGAGTTCCAATATAATGTACTCCACTGGGAGAATTTTCATGTTGGCAAATATAATTTTCCTAATAGATGTGTGTTTTAACATTGAAATACAGTGGAAATCTTCAAACTTTATTTAAAAAATAAGGCCTGAATTCAGAGCATTTTTTGAAGATAAAGAACAAGTAGCTTACCTTAATATATTAAAACTGTACAATTTGAATTGTCATTTTCTCTGTATAACTTCTTTGTCAGCTTATAAGAAGAGGTAATGTACTTTTCACCTTATAAAATATCTGTTTAGTGAGGGTTCCAAATACTGCTGGATTAAAATTATTGAGGTGTTTTCAAAGTAGTTTTATACTACTTTCTATGTAATCTATACTCATGTTAGTATTTGAGTTAAATGGAATTATTTTTAATTGTACCAGTATCTTAAAATGTCTTATTTTTCTTGGGATTAGGGTTTTTCATTTTGAATATAAACAAGCATATTCAGTGTATTTTTTTTTAAGTGTTTTGAAGGAATATCTTCAATGTCTCACTCAGAGCTGACAAAATATAATTAATAAAATAACTATATTGAATTAATTCATAATTAAGAGCCCATTTTAATTTCCTTTAAGGCTATTCATTTTTCTAATGTTGTTTTGTTTCTGCAGAACTATTGTAATAACTTTGTTTTTATTCCCTCATTATAAGAAGTAGCTGTTGTTAGTAATGTGGCTAATTCAGTTAGTTCCTTAAAACAACCTGTACTGTGATGTGGGTAATTACCAAACTATTTGTGGAAATGTAATAGTAGTAGTAGTAGTAGTAGTAGTAAGAATAATAATAATTTATTTACTTAGTAATAAGTAACTTATTAAATTTCATTATTTAACTAGGTTGTAGGCCTAGGCTCTGTGCTGCATTCTTGTATGATAGAATAAGTAATATGTTCTAGTCTGTACAGGCAATTACATTTTTTACAGTTTGAAATTTCTGAACTTTTTACAAAGGCAGCCCCATATAAAGTAGATTACGATAGCATGACCTGGAGATAAATAAAGCGGCAGTATTATATGTTCTGCATGGCAGCCTTTCCATTTAGGAAAATATGATGGCGATGAAGATGATGATGATGATGATGATGATGATGATAGCTTTTACTCCAGTTTGTTAGTCCCAAGAAATGAAATAGTATTCTTTATTTCCAAGTATCAGTAATCAAATAAAATAAATTGTTTAACAAATTCATTTTTTCATTTCTAATTTTCTGAATGGGGGACTTGATGGCATCAACATCATCGTAATCACCATTGTCATTATTACTGAGCTGAGTTGGACTGAGGCTAGGATTTTCCCCCAAGAGCCTTCAATCCTATGAACTATTTGTAGTTTTGAACAACTGAGATACTGGTTTACCATTTCAGTGAGAGTTTGATCCTTGTATCAGCAGATTTTTATATCAGTAGTAAGACAAAGGAAAAGTGTACATGTTTTTTAATCAAATTTTGATTGATAGAATCTGATTCATAATCTTGTGGTCCAAGTTATTATAAGAGTGTATACTCCTGTGGGTCTGGGGACAACTTTAGAAATGGAAATCCAATTTTGGATTCCATTCATGAATCTCCAACAGCCTCCAGGTTTTCTCTTTCCAACACTGAGAAAACTTGATCTCAGAAAATCCCTTAAAAAAGACATGGCAGGATGATTCACTGAATCCAAGGTCCTGCATTTTCTGCTACTGTGGCAAGTCTACAAATATGGCCTCCCCAGTACCTACTATCCAGCTACCATTGACACTGATCTAAGTTTATATCCTAACACTATGTGCAATAGGGAAATTGTAAAAAATGAAACATAAAAGATAAGTATTCAGCACACTTTCCTACTTCTACTCTGATAGTCTGCAGCCAACAGAGCTATAAGGCTTGTCAAAGAGGATTGCTTTCCCTGAATACTGAATTATTATTTTATTGAGATCTGTTTTCACGAATACAGTCGTGTGAAAAAGAAAGTACATCCTACAACCTGAGGGAGGGATCTGAGCAGTTCTCGCTTACATGAATAAAAGCCATCTATTCTGCCTCAGAAATTTTAGACATTATCTTCTAACTCAGTGAGCTTTAGATGATCTTCTGAAGAGTTTTCCTCTGTCAGGGGAAGGAGAACAACTGACCTTGGTTCTAGATACCTATGCACTAACATGGGTCATCCACAAGGACATGCAACATTTTTGTTTGTTGATAACTTTGCTAATGCAGGGCTGTCTACAGGCGTGTGAAAAAGAAAGTACACCCTCTTTGAGTTCTATGGTTTTACGTATCAGGACATAATA